TATACCTAATTCTCGAACATTAATTGTCTTTGATACATTTTTGCGTATTCAGCTTAAAACATCTAAATTTGTCCACCAACAAACATGCAAATCATAGAAATTTCTAATGTTTTGTTCGGCGGCAACTTCGCGGCCGTTGGATTGCCATTTGTTGGATTTCCCCGGAGCTCCGCCCACTTTAAAAATAGTGCTAGCATTGTGGCAGTGGTATATCCTGAGTGTGGGAAGGGGGCGCTGCATGCAGTTTGGCTCAATTACTGAGTTGTGTGTACTGCTGCATGCAGTTTGGGTTTCTTATTCAATCGCTGATACTTTCACCAGCTATAAACGCACTACATGGCTCACGGCATACACGGCCCACGGCATACACGGCTCACGGCATATCACGACATACGGCATACACGGCTCACGGCATACACGGGTCACGGCATATCACGACATACGGCATACACGGCTCACGGCTCACGGCTCACGGCTCACGGCATATCACGACATACGGCATACACGGCTCACGGCATACACGGCTCACGGCATACACGGCTCGTGGTATACACGGCTCACGGCATACACGGCTCACGGCATACACGTCTCACGGCATATCACGACATACGGCAGTTTCTTAGCGCTTCTGTACAGCCAAATATTATATTATTTGCGCCGCTAGAGGGCGCGATATTTGCGTGCACGTTGCGACGTTGGCAGACGCCCTTCGCGGGAGTTCACGAGTACCAATCTATCAATGCTATCATTGATTGATCCTTCGCCGGCGCGAGTAGGTGGCGGTATAAATCATAAGCTTGAATTGAAGGGCGTCGCACCGCTTGACGTGGCGCTATCATCGAATCTCAGAATAAATCGACATCAAACAGAGTTTATCGAGTAGAGTTTGTCTAGCTACGCGCGCTCCTAGAAACACACATAACACCGTGGCTGCGGTGGCAGTTATCGGATTCAAGTAGACTTTTACACGAGTAAACATTGGGTTGGCATGAAAATTTATTATGTCAGGAAACGTCAAGTGCAGGCAGTGAGATGTTCTCGTAAGTGGAATATTATTTGCGTTTAATCCTTGGCTTACCCTATCGGATTTCATCGACGCTAGCGAAGCATAAAACACACAAAAGGAGGTACCTCGTACAAGTCTCTTTCGTCCCCCCTCTCTCTCTCTCTCTCGCTTTCTCCTACACTCTCGCGCGCGTAACACACGCACGCACACACACACACACACACACACACACACACACACACACACACACACACACACACACACACACACACACACACACACACACACACACACACTCACACGCACACAAACCCATCTATTCACTTTTACTATAAACACCAAGTGCAGGTGACCTGATAACATCATCGGATGTTATAGTAGCAACTTTCCGTGTAATCGGTTCATTTCGAGTTGGCTTTCACCCATGCTGCACACGCCTAGGCAAACGCCAAACGCCACAAATAGCGTCAACTACTCGCACATAATACTACAAGTACTGCTAGAAGAAAAGGCAAGGAACTAGATCGCCTGTGAATGTGAATCTTTTATGCCGACTCGGACATCTGTATAACATAGGATGAAGACTGCTGTTATTTTACTCGCAGTCGCCTGTTTCTACGTACGAAATGCCGGTAAGCAGTGTGCGCGAATCTGTATTGCAGGTGTGAAATATTAACGTAAATTCAATACATGATACATAGAATGCTCAAACAATGACGACCCAATGATTTTAATCATGCGTAAATTAAACGTTGTATCAGTTATCAATATTATACTTGTTACCAATCGCAATACCAATCAACATTGGCATTATATAATATTTATAATTATAATATTTAGTATAAATATTATAATATAAATATTTTAATTTAATTTTAATTTTTATAGATCATGTTACATACATGCACATATGTAGGGGCCTACATGCGCATTATTTAGTATCAGACTTCAAGTATAGATATTTCTATTTATGGTAAATTGGTAACTTATATATATATATATAATATAAGCTAACACTCAACATTGTTAGATGTTCGCAACTATAAAATCTTTAAATAGTTTTTCACATATTAGACAACGCTGAATTGGGGGTAACATATAAAATCAAAAACATATAAATCGTACAGGATGCGATGAGTCGTACTGTCGTACATCAGAAAATGTAATTGCTTGGAAGTTATTACCGCTGTCTGCCAAAAAACGTAAAAAGACGTGAAAATCCATGGTTTCTGCGCAGCGTGTGACGTCACCGATGACGATGAGCACAGAGAATGGTTGCTGGAGGAGGTCAAGCATGACCCTAGACTCTACGAACTGTTCCAGTCTCTCACGCTGAGAGAGCTAACGCAGATACACGACAGTCCTCGATCACAGGTGACGCTTGTGTTGTTCGATCGACTGGTTTTCGTGTCGGAGAAATATAAACAGATTAGAATATAAATAATTTAGTAAAATCTATTTGTATTATGAGGGTTTTGCGTTGTTATACCGGTTGCATGCGCAATTTTCTCAGCGGAGGTAATTGTAGAGTTATATAGGTTTTATATTACATTGAGTGAGTTATTCCTATATTATTTGGCGAAAGCGATGTGAAGGTTGACACAGAAATGCGCGTACGCGTCTGTTATAATGAAGCGCACCACTCCGAAAACTACTAGTCCAATTAACATTTGATTTATTCAAACCAATTTGCACCAACCAGGGCTAGATACAATAATGTAACCCAAACCCAGGAGGATAGGGCCCCTATCCTCCTGGGTTTGGGTTACATTATTGTATCTACAAGCAGGGCGCACTCTCTCACAGCAAGCGCGGTACCCGATGTCAGAAACAAAACTAGTCTAAACGTTTAATCTTAGCACTAACCTTTTCTTTTAGACTGTTAACAGAAACATTGTAGATTTACGAGTTTTTAATAGGCAAGTGTATAGCGGTCCAGTCTAACGTTCATGTTAAAAGTAATTTTGTTTCGGACAACAAGCTCTAGTGCTTTTAGACTTGTCCAACACATTTTCCTGTGTAAAAACGACTAGCGACACTCAGTCTAGCCCGACCAGGCTCTACGACTGTTTCATATAGTGAGAAGCGAGCTGGTAACTTGTGGCAACCTTCGGTTTAAGGATACTCTCCACCTTTTGCACGGGTATTGCTCTAATGAAGATTAAACGTTTATTGGCGAATGAATCGAATCAATCACTTGTTTTATTTATAGAGGAGATTTATCTCTATGCTCAAGCCAAAAAAATTCATGAAATTTCCCACAGTTACCACACAAATTTTGAATTTTTATGTAAAAATGGTATTTTGGATATTTCTCAACTACCAGAAAGAGTGAGGATACAACATTTTTGCCACATGTTAAGCACAATATTGACCAAAATAGTGCGTCAGGATTTTTTTTTAATTTTCATATTTACCGAGAAAACTGGAAAAAACTGCTTAAAAATCAAGTTGTGTGTTAGAATTGAAAGTTTTAGCGAATAAAGAGGCATAACTAATAAAATTCGGCACTTAATAACAATCCCTGACGCTCTTCTTTACCACAATATGTTACCATTAAAACGAGTGTAAAATTAAATTAATCCGAGTTGTAATCACAGAGGAATATCCATTTATACATCGGCTACTATGTCAGAAATCGAAACGGAGAAATCAGGGTTTTTCTATTTTTCACAATGAGTGACCGCCTGTGTGGGTAACCCTGTGTTTGGGTTACATTATTGTATCTATACAGTAAGGTGTGTTGCGAGGTGTTAGAACTATTTTGGGCGTGGGATACTTGTTGGATCACTAGCAGCCAGATGTACATGAATGTACATGAATACATGTAATGACAGCTGTAGCAGAGTTGACGCTGAATGATACTGGCTTATTTATTACTAGTGAATATCGTGGTTGTATCATGTCTCTGACGTCATCATGACGTCAGCCGCTGCTTAATTACTACACATGTACGCGGGCAGTCAAATCGCTCTAACAGTTCACATGTACCGTTATATGAAGAAATGAGCATGTACGAAGGTGGCACATAGTGTTATAGCCATCGAATAAAATTGAAAATGAAAAATCTGTAAAATTTTGCCTAAAACCTTGAGAGTATCCTTAACCGGCAGGTGACGTAGCATGCCTAGTTCTGAAGTGCCATCAAGGACTTGGCCCTTCTTTCATACTTTTGCGATCGACTCTTGCAGGCACGCGGATACCCGTTTCGATGCGTGGTGAATGTATCGGACACCGTGCCAACGTCCGTGCACAAACTACGACCATCCG